CAGTCTCTCCCCTTCCTCTCCCAAGATGGCACTTGGGTATTTGAAGGAAGGATAGAGTTCTGATGGGATACTTGGGTACTCATGCTGTCCTCTGGATATTCAGGTTTCTATGGCAACCTTCCTGGTCCTCCTGATTGTTCCTGATCTTCAGCATTTCAAGCTGAGATCAGCAGCTGATTTTCTCCTAGTTTCTAATTTCACTGCAAGGTGGCGCTTGGTAAGGTTCCAGGCTCCAGCAGCCTCACTTTGGCTCTCCTTGGCACTGGGGTCCCCCTGAGCTGCTCCTGTGGACTCCATTTGACCCCAATTCCATCAGAGGCTCTCTCATAGCACAACCTTGGATAATTATGGAAGTTGATGCTTCCATTGGTACCACACAGGTTACAAGAGTATCTTAGGAATGCTTCCGTCTGACCTTCCATTTACTTTTCACACGCCCCCATAGACTTTCTATGTGGTATTTACACTTTAGTGTAGAAAAGGACTCCAAAAGTCCCAAGCGTAAATTAAGAGCAAAGACTTGCTTATTTTGTCAGTTTACCTAACACATTTTCCTCTTTCTGGGTTTTATTCATTTATCATTCTCTGCTTCCCTTGCTTCTGTTGCACCTCAATCATTTGCCTTTCTTCAGTCTCTCAGGACCAGAGAGATGACTTTTGGCTTTTTAGTCCTCTCATCATATTCTATCTATAGCCTAGGTCAGCAAGTCCTGTGCCTGGTTGTCACGTATAGAAAGAGTCTCGTCTCTGAACTATTATTAGGAGAAACAAGGATAGTATTGTCTTGATGCTGTCAGTAACATAGGACCATAATCTGAGACCACCAGCCTTAATTCTTGACATGTAAAGGACTTCGGAGGAAAAAAAAATCCTGTTTCACCACAAAATCTGAAGCAAAACTCTATTTCAAATGTCAATTTCTTTACATTTCTTTGATATCAATCCTAATCTTCCTTTCATCTCATGTATCGCTGCCCCCTAATGTACAGTACCTGTGTGAGTGCATGTGTACACAACATAGTCTCTCTCTCTCTCTGTCTCTCTGTCTCTCTCTCACATCAGACAGAAGATGAATCAGTAGACAAACAAAGGAGAAGTAAATGTGCAGAGAAGGAAAACATATAAAAGCACATTGACTTTTTTCAGATTATAGTAGTTCTGGTTTTAAGAATTTGCCTTGCATGTCTTAACAACATTAGCAAGGTCTTAGGAACCAGCTAGTGTAGTCAGCAGAATTGCTTTCTGCTCCACTGCCATTTCTTTCTCCTTTCTTTCCTGGCCTAATCTATTACAATTTACATTATTTTCCATGTCCAGAGCCAACTCTTTGCCACTCTCTTAATCTACCTTTAACTTCCAAACACCAGAGCACCTGTCTTCGTACAGTTCTTAGCCCTTCTGGTCTCTACTTCCACTATTATTGTATTGCCATCTCAGCTCCTTAATTTTGTTTACATATATTCATCTGAATGGAATCCTTCTTGCTCTTTTTCCTTCCTTTCCAGCCCCTCGTCATCCTCTTTCATGGCAGGAACCACAATCAATTGATGGAGTCAACCATCCTCTCTTACCTAGAGTTGATTCCTACTGTCAGGAGGTCTTGCAGCAGTTGAAATCAGAGCTCTTGTATCAAGGGTTCCTTCTTGATTCTTTCACTAATACAGAGATGGGTTTTTGGCAGTCTCTCCAACCAGTAAGAGAGACCTAAGTGGAGGAGAAATACTTCTGTCATTGAAAATGGCAGAGAGTAAATTTGAGAATCTCTCCTAGTGACAAGTATTATTCCAGGGAGAGTTCATGAACCATGTATTGCCCCTCACCTTTTTAACCTGTTGGAGCTGTTATTAAACTATAATATGGCAAATACATATGAGTACCTTTTGGTAGCTAATTTTGGTAGCTAATGGCCCTGAAACACCATTTGGAATACAATGTCTTTGGAAAATATGCTTATAAGTTGATTTATAAACAAGCTTTTTGGATATAACTTTCCTGTGACCTGAATTGTGTCCCCTTAAAATTCACATGTCAAAGCCCTACCCCTAGATATGATTGAATTTGATAGAGCTTTTATAAGGTAATTAAGGTGAAATAAGGTTATAAGGGTAGGGTCCTAATTTGATAGAATTCGTGGCCTAGTAACAGGAAGAGAGACAGATGTGCCTCTCTTTACATGCACTCAGCAAGGAAAGGCTATGTGAGTACATAGAGAGGATGCAGTCAAATGCAAGCCAGGAAGAGAATTAAACCAGAATTTTAGAGACCTAACTGGCTGGCAACCTGATCTTGGACTTCCTAGCCTCCAGAACTGTGAGAAATTTCTATTGTTTAGGCCACCCATTCTATGGTATTTTGTTATGGTAGCTTGATCTAAGACAGACCTGTTCATACCTTCAGAATTAAATACAATTACCTATTTATGAATAGATCATATCCATAAAACTTGACCATTATTACCATTTATTTATAAACTAAATGTATATAAAACATAGATAAAAGTAATATTTGCATAAATGCTTTTTATGTTTAAATAAGTAAATAAATGGATGATAAATCTCATAGATTCCTAAAGAGAACCTGTTTAGGTGCAAGCCTAAACTTTGGTTGTGGTAAAAACCTCAAGCATCCATGGAGCGTCTGTGTGCCCAACACTTATTCAATCAATAACTATATCCTTATTAGAAATGTTATCCACATACTGAAACTCAGCGCTCATTACATTAGATACCCAACAAATGTTAGCTGGATTAAACATATATATATATATCTTGAGTAATAGAGGTTTATGCACCAAAATAGGTGGCGCGGACACATACTATCTCTACAAGAATGTTTGCAGGAAGATAGAAAGACCTGGACAGGAAGATGGATGTCAGACAAAGTTATTTGTGGCTGCCTGATGCCCCATAGTACCTTGGTTAAACAGACATTGTTCTCAGCTATTGTAGTACTTTTCTAATCAAGTATAGTGTTTATAACTTTTCGGAAGGAACTTTTCTACTGCCCCTTTTTTTTAATAAAGAAAACTTACAGTATATTCCAATATCAAGTAAAAAGGGTTTGGGGATTATATGTGCTTTTGAGTTATCCATTAAGTCTTTTGGGATTTATTGATTTGTTTTATGTTTGCTTGCCTTCCGATAATTTTAAATCTGATTAATGAGGACTTTCGATGAAACCTATAGCTCTATAATGGTTGAAAATTGGTTAGAAACTATGTAATGCAATGTAAATGTTGGTTTTTATTTCTCAGCTTAAGCAACCTTCTTCCTCAAGGATGTATTCACATAAGCTCAAATAACTACTTATAATGGTCCAGTAAAATAAGACTTTCAATTTAGAGGGCAGATGATTATGTTCCAATGTCCACTTGCTGATTCCTTTACTTTCTAGCCTACAGTGCTGACCATGATGGTGTTGATTATGACATGGTTGAATGTTTTTAGAAAGCAAAGTTTATTTCAGGAGTGTGGTAAAAAGACATGGGCTGTGAGGGTCAGAAGTCTATGTGAGATTCCTTGGACCAGTTGCGTAGCCTCTCTAAGCCACAGTGTGCTCATTCAGTAAACACTTAGTAGGCCTTTGCTCTGTGCTAGGCATTACAAAATGGGTGTAACAGTAGCTGAAATAGTAGTAGCTAACATTTGCTTATCACTTACCTATTTAATGTTCACCAAAGTCATATGCTGATGGTACTCTAAATTAAAGTTGCCATTTCACAGGTAAGGGGACCAAGGCACAGAGACATTATTCATTAATTGCCCACTGTCTTTCAGGTTTCAGTGGTAAAACCATACTTACACTCAAAGAGTTTAATTCCACTATGCTGTTATTGAGATCTTAATTTTCTATTTATGTATTTATTCATAGTTCTCATGTTCAATTTTTCATTGTTCTCGACATGTGACAATGCTTAGGAAACTACTTAGTGCATAGTGAATATGTTATTATTATTTATTGTATTTCATGTTATTAGGCCTCCTTAATTCTTCTTTTAAAACAAATCTTTATTTTGTTTCTTTGACCTATTTGAGAAGTCACAAAAATTTTGTTATATTTCATAGTGCTCGAAATAATTTATGTGTCCCAAAATTAAAGACTTCTGTCATTTGATAGGTTATTTTATATATTATGAAATCTTTTATACCTAAAAGTATGTAACACATATGATAATTATAAACCACTGTTATTACATGTGCGACAAAGAGTAAACAGCATTTTATAAAGGTAAATCCTTTATAAATATTGGTTCATGCTTTGTTCTCTAGTGTAGAAGCAGCCATGTATTTTAATGGCTCTCTAATTTTAATAATACCAGTTTGCACTAAAACTACTGTATGAAATGTTAGAAATTTTAACCTTCTACTTTGAAAATCAAATTGTTCATTGCAATTGAACATCGTGAATGTTTTAAGTGTGAGGACCACACACTTCTTCCATTAAATCAAAGAACCTAAACTGGCTTTTCTTCTTCCTGCTCACTGACTGCTGCTGCTACCTGCCTAATAATTGTCTTTGGCTCTATGTAAACCTGTAGCCAGAAAGATATTTGAATTTTCCCCCTCTAGCACTTACAAATCCAATTTTTATGTATAGCTAAGTGCTCTTAGCATTTACTCTATCTACTACGGGGGCCTGGCTTCTAGCAGGCCTGTAACTACGCCAGATCTAGCCTATGTAATGCTGTTTGTAATGAGAAATCTAAACAGGGAATGGCAGTGAGGCATGGCAGGAATGTGTTTCCATTGGAGAAGTCAGCGTAGAGAAAAAATATAAGCAAAGCTGTGTCCAGAAGGCCTTTTCAGCTGGCCAAGACGGAAGACTAATGTTATTGTACATAGGCTGTTACCCTGCCAGCCCTTCCTCACGAATTTGTTTTCTCTCTCTTTTCCCCTCGCCTTACTCCCCTCCCCCTCTTT